TGATGTTGATCGATAAGTCAGCAGCGTGCTCGAATTAGATCAACTATCGATTAGATGAGCATTGGTAGAAGTGATCAATAAATGGCAATTTATCAAACACTGCAAAATTGAGAATAGTAGTAGTCGGATAACTTGAGAGGTGTAATCACAGATTGACGTTACGTAAGTGAGCCCTGCAATGGTATCGAAAGTTATAGTTGTTAAACACTTAACGCTATCAGGGCTCTAGAAGGGCAAACGATTACTTATATTATTCTGCTTTGCAATGTACAAACGCAGTATGTCTTCTTTAACGTTAGTCAGTCAGCTATTGCAGAGCCATATCGATGTGGCCTTAATTTGCTGCGTCGCAAACAAATGTTTTGTATCAGAAAGCATCGGTTGCAGCAGCTGCAAAGGTGCAAGCACCACTCGTGTCTACTCGTTGGCTCACTATTCCTTCTTAATGTTCGGTCCATGGATCTAAGTAACCCAAACCAACAAGATATCACGTAAGATTTAAAAAATAATAACAAAAGCCTTCAATTTCAAGCATGTCTCTCTGTATGACTTAACGCTATCTGCAAAATTGCGAACATACTGTTGTTATTCGACCAGCTTGTTGTCTACTTACTTCAAAGTTGGTAATTCATGTAAAAGTGAACAATTATTGACGGAATCGTCTTAATCTTATTTTTGTATGATATACGTACTCTCACCATTGTTCACCGTAATTCTGAACAAACTTCAGATGCGACAAAGTAAATGAGTTGTTCGATATATTAGTCCCGTTGCAGCCATAGCACCAACTTCCACTGGCATGACTTCATCGCATCCTTGTTGAAATTCAGTAAGCAAATTTAAACCGTTTGTACAATATTTTTGTAAATTAAAGTACATTTTCGTATTCAATTCCTTTGGGACTTGGGTCTATTATAGGTCTGTTTATTTTATAGACAAACATTTTCTGAAGTTACCTACCATCCATTGATTTCGCGCTCTTCATGCACGCACTTTATAAAAAAGTGTTATCTGCATACATGCAAATTTTAGTCACAATGTGAATAGTGGATCTCTGAAAAGTAGCACTGCAGCATTTTAGAGTGTAATAAATTTCCACTTGGACATCGGCGAGTCATGAGTCCACAATCCTAGGAAACAGAAACGATTCTGGTGCA